AACGGGCTATATTTGTGTTTTGAGTGCTGGATTGAGCGTCCTGGAATCCTTTCTCCGTTTGCATAGTTCTTCTTTTTATTTTTTATGAGTACTTTATTTTTTCTTTTTTGGGGATTTTTGGGAGGTTTTTTTAATGAGCTAACTATTTTTTGGGAGGATTGGTTTTGTGGAAGAGAAGGATTAGTAGTTTCTAATTTTTGGGTTATTTCAGGGAGGAATCTTTTGGTGTGCTACTCGAACGGAAATTTAGAAGTGAGAGGTTGGCGATTCTAAAAATGGAAATCTCACTTATCCATAGATAATTTCTTTAATAGAAGGGAGATTAGAAAATTGTGATGGAGATGATTGGAGAATTGCCCGTAGTTGGCATATTTCCCTTCAAATCCTGATCCATCAAAATAATTAATGGGAGGAAGGCTTTCCTTCGACAAATGCTACAGTGACCCCCTTCTCCCCTCACAATATTTTCTTCTTTCAATTTTGCCCTTATATGTTTCCCTCTACCTTTCACCTGTTAGAATGGCTTTTTGGTCATTTTGCCACCAAATAATGTGTCCATCGTTCACAGAGACTATTTTCTCTGTTTTGCCCTCGTGCTTTGTTTCTATCTTGGTCTCTTGGAACATTGTTTCTTCCTTTCTCACATGGCTTCTAGGTCTTTTTACTTTTCTAAGTTTTTGATGATCATTTCCTTATCTACGTTTGATTTGTTCTACAAAAATCTGATCTTTGTTCGTCGATCATGGAAAGGGAAAGTTTTAGCTGGATTTTGAGATTTGAGCACCTGAAGGAAAAGATAAGGATTTTATGGTTGTGGAAATCTTGCAGTAACTCCTACACTAGATGAACAAGGGTAATGACATAGTTTGTAAACCCAAGAGAGGGAGAGAAAAAGAGACGGACAAGGAAAGCTTGAAGAGGTCTGTGCACCTGAGCAAAGTGATATTAAAGTTGTAGCGAGATGCTCCATCTTCGGCGATAAGAATGTCGAGAGGGATGAAGATTTGTCATTGGTTTGAAAGAGGTTAAGAAAGAGAATGAGAGAATCTAAGAGTGCCAGTTGATACTCAAAGGAAGAGATTACTGTTGGTTATGAGTCTTCTTTGATGGTGTGCATGAGTTGAATATGATTGAGATCCATTGGAAAAGTGGGAAACCTAGAAGCATGTGAGAGGGTGCTATTCAAATAATCAAGCCCAATCTAAATCCAATCCAAATAATCAAGTCAATTCGAATCCAAGTTTGATTGAACATCTTGGGATCCATTCTTGTTTGAGCCTTTTTCCCTCCTGGCTTCCTCCTTTGACTTTTGATTGCCATGGACCACAAAACTTCATCTGAACTCAAAATGAAACTCAAAACTCAGATGCTTTGACATCACGTGAATCACATGCAAAAAGAGTAGATTTAACATGGTACCTATGTCATTGTTTCAACTATCATGAGTTCTTTGGCTTCATGGATCAAGATTTACGAAAGAAATCATATTCATAGGTAGATCAAAGTGAAAGGAGTAGATCTCTAGCAAGGGTGGTGGCACATAAACCTCCATGTCAGATCTCCTCTCGTGTGTGATTCATGTGCTGTTAGAAAATCTGAGTATTAAGTTTCATTTTGAGTTCAAATAAAGTTTTGTGGTCCCTATCAATTAGAAGTCAAAGGAGCAAGCCAAGAAAGGTAAAGGGCCCAACTAAGAATGGATCCCAAAACATTCAATTGGACTTTATTTTTGGCAGAATCAAACTTGGATTTTTGGTGGAATTGTGTGTTGAATTTTTGGCCTAGATTTTTGTAAGTGTATATCTAGGTTTTTGAGTGAATTGGTAGTGGATTAAATAGGAAGTTTTAGGGATTTTGGGGAGGTTTTCTTAATGAGTCAACTATTTCTTGGAAGAGAAGGATTGACTGGTTTTGTTTTTAACCTTGAGCAAAACTTGAGATCCATTTTAATTTAGGGTTTTGAAATATTCTTCCAATCTCACAAACACATATAGTATTTAACTCCAATCCTACTGATTTCAAAAAAACAAAACAGGCAACCACAATGGCAAAATATTATGTTTCATTCATAATAAGCATCAAATTTACAAGAGCAGCAACCTAAGTAACCAGCAAATGAAGGAACTAATAATGCATTTTGGATCATTGGACATACAATTGGATAAGACAAAAAATGTGTCCTATCCTTATGTGTCTCATGTTTGGTGGACTAATTGGGCGGGACATTGCTCATCCCATCTTATATCTCATCCTTTCCCCATTGAAGAAATTTTTATTTCTTTTTACCCTTGGGATTCATTGGGATTTTTTTTTGTTCTACTTTTATCCCTCTCCGTTACTCAACCTTCTTTCTCTCGCTTCCTAGATTTTCATGCCGGCTTTGTTGAACCCATCTCCTCAATCAATGATCAGAACCATTTTCTCCTCCCTCCCTTGTCCTCTTTCTTGTTCCTTTCCCCTTTCTTTTCCCCCCTTCCTCAATTTCTATTTGGTCTAAAGATTCAAGGCACTATAGTAAGAAACTTACTCTAATTTTGCTGGCATGGTTGTCAATGAGTGTTAAGTGGTTTTCCCACATTTGTGCTCTCATCGATTATTCACTCTTTTGCATATCTGAGCCTAACAAATTAGGTTCTTTTGAAGCAAATTGAGATTTGATTTTTTTAGATTTAATTAAGATATGATTTTTGTAATGAAATTCGTAACATTGTAGAAAAGTTGTTGAAATTCGTTGATTATAGAGAAATTGGTTGTCGTTAATATAAATATATTTACAATCAAAATTTAATTTATTTGAAATTCATTGTTTATGTTGTTTGGTTTCTTAGAAAACAGAGAGAGAATTGATGTTGGTGTTGCTTTCTTAGTAGGTAGAGGTGATTTTGTTAAGAAAACAAATAAAATATTTTATGCTGGTGATCTAGTTGTTTGGTAGATGAGAAAATGAAGTAAAATTATGATAATTTTACTGGGTTGTGGTTGTTTTTTTATTGGGTGTATGTGGTTTAATTTGTTGAGAAAATAATTAAAATATTTTTTACTAGTGATCTAGCTGTTTGGTTAGTGAGAATACAGAGGAAAATTCTCTTTCAACAACTACCAATGAAATATTGTTAATGAATTATTGTAAAACAAATAAAAAAATTATTATTATTAAAATTAAAATTAATCAGATTTAACTTTAATAAGCTCAAATTTATCTATTCAAATAATTATTTATATCTAATCTCACTCTTTTTTCAAAATTCAGTTAACATGACATTGGATTCAATAAATTGCATCCTATCTAATCCAATCCAATCCAACACTATAAATTTTATCCAATCTAATGCAATCTTGACTTCCAAACAAGTTCTGAGGGAAATAGATTAAGATTTGAAGGAATTAAGGAAAAATCAAGATTTGAAAGGAGATACCCCACCCACTGGCAATTCTTTGATCATCTTTATCACCATTTCCCAATCTCCATTATGTTAAAGAAATTACCTATGGATAGAACCCCAAAATCAAAAACATCCAATCTTTCTTGTCTCGAAACCCAATCCTCCCAAGAAATAATTTGCTCATTAAGAAAACTTCCTACATTCCAAAACCCTTGATATACATTTACAAAAATTTAGGCCAAAAATTTGTTGGAAATTTTGAGCGCCACAATCCCATACAAACAGAAGCGATAAAAAAATTGAAACAATAATTTAACATGGTTCAATTTGTACACCTCTTAACAAGTTTACGTACACGAGAAAAAAAAATCCATTATTAAGAGAAAGAATACAATAATTTAGAAACTCTCTCACTCAAGAAGCTATAGAAACTCCCAAATTCTCCCTAATTCTCTCTCTTAATCTTCACAAGAATTTCTTCATAATTTCTTTGTTTCTTTTCTCTCATAAGAGCACCCACTCACTTGCTCTTCTCTTGCTTGCCCATTGCCTTTGCATGCATGGGTATTTATAATGAAAAATCCAACCACCCATGCACCATTTTTTTTTGCCCATTAAATGGGTCAACATGCAATCTTGCATGATTTCAACAAAGCAAATGCTAGCCCACAATTAGCTAGGTTGGTGAAGAAATTTCACAACATGAAAAGTCCATATGGTCCACATGGGGTTGGACTTTCTACCAAAAAAAATTCAACACAAAATTCCACAAGATAAATTGAGCTCAATTCGAATCTAGTTCAAATAATCAAGCCCAATTTGAATCTAGTTCAAATAATTCAGCCCAATTTGAATCCAGGTTCAATTGAATGTCTTGGGATCCATTCTCATTTAGGCCTTTTACCTTCTTAGCCTACTTCTTTGACAAGGATCACAAAACTTCATTTGAACTCAAAGTGAAACTTAGAACTTAGATTCTTTGACACCACATGAATCACATGC